AATTATGTCATATATGTACAAGTTTATAAGTAGGTTTATGTGTATGGTATTATGGTATTTACCAAACAGACTGCCCATAAGGAGTTTCTTCCGACCAATACGTTCCACCAGCCACACACCCACCAGAGTGAACAGGAAGTTCATGGATGACGTCAGAGCTGACAGCCAGATAGCCATGTGTTGGTCACCCACGCCTGCCATACGGATAATGGAAGCGCTATAGTACCTGCCAGAGCACAAATACATAAATAATAGGTTGAAAATGTTATCCTGTTTGATCAGACTACAAAGAAGTATACTAGTCAGGAATATACAAAGGAGTCAACTGGAACTAGGAAAATCTAAACTATTGTTCTGTCAAAAGTTCGTTGCGCAACTTATTCTCAAATGTACCTCAATAACGCTTGAATCAGTGTCATCAATACTTTGCACAGCAGTTTGATTCAATTAACCATATTTTCCACAACAATTGAAGCTAGATTTTAAGAAGAAAAAAACGTTTGTTCATAAATGTATATAAAATGCAATAAATCTCCATCACGTGGAAAATGGTGTCGTTCACAGCACTTCCGCTTCTCACACACATTTTGCTCACGTATATAGCCTACGTCACAGCCCACCAATGGCACTTTTAGTTACAAGAATTTAATTTTATAGTGAACACCTTTATTTTAACTTTAAGGTTCTCAAAATGTTCGGTTGATACGCATAACGTTTCAATCAGAAAAAAAAATTACGGATTTGCTTTTCGCCTCAGCTGTAGAAACCATCCATTGGGATTTTTAATTAGAATTTTCTAGAATACAGCTAACAGGTGTTTACAAAAACATTGATCTCTTAAGACAGATTGATAGAAGTCACTGTGCAAACGTTGGAAAGTTTATTTTCGATAATTTAGGAAATATTTGACAATAAGTTGAGCCACGAATTTTTACCGTACTATAGTCGAGGTCAGCCTAAATAAGTTTATCTTACAGTGGGGGTAGATGAGGGGATTTTACAACTTACAATGTGTGGGTAGAAATGTAACTTGCCTCTGTCGTATCAATTCAACAAACTTTCGGAAATCAAGCTCCACTTTTAAAAGAAAAGTTAGTCACATATTGGAATCTCTGAGTGCCCAACTTACATAACAGTGTTGATGCCGGACAATTGCTGGAACAGCTGCAAGGCACATCCCACCAGCAGAGCTCTGCGAACAGGGGGCGTCTTCAGAATTCGTATGATGGTCACACCATCTGTGGACAACGAAACTCATAGAGATTCATACATGTAGTAATTACATGTGCATCGTGCATTATTATCTTGTGTAAAGGCGCAGTTGTTGTTGTCGTTGTTGATGGTGATATTGTTGAAGTTATTGTTGATGTTGTTGTAATTGTTGTTGTTTTCGGTGTCGTTGTTGTTGTTGTTGCAATTGCTGGTGTTATTGTTGTTGGTGTTGCTGTTGTTGGTGTTGCTGTTGTTGGTGGTGTTGTTGTTGGTGTTGTTATTGTTGTTGTTGTTGTTGTTGTTGTTGTGGTTGCCTTAGTTGTACGGTTGCTGCGGTTGGCCTTCCTGCATTAGTCGTTACGCTTATTTTTGTTGTTCTTATTGTTATCGTTATGGTTTTCATTGTTGCAGTTGTCATTGTTGTTTTACTGCTCTTGTTCTTTTGTGATGCGTTTAAAAAATGTTTTCGTGATTGTTTTGTCACTTTTACTATTAGCAACTGATGGCTGAGTGACTGCTTTATGTCGTATATGCAACTTTTTTTCTTCACATGGTACCCGGCCATTCTCCTTTTTAAAAAACTTTTTAAAATGGTTTCCGCCCCCCCCCTCCCCCCACCCCCATTTCGATACAATTTTGATCCTTTAGGAGGCGGGCTTCCGACCCTACCTGTAAGGGCCAACACAGGCTGAAAAGGATATAACATCTTAGCAGAAAAACCGAGATACTTGATAAAAATTCCCCACACTCTGGAATCGAACTCGTCTCTCCTGCGTGCGACAGCGAAGCTCACAACCGTCACATTACAGACGCCGGTTTCAGTTTCTCTAATTTGGTTGACATTTTTAAGATGTAAAATAAAATGTAACCTTTATTCTTGTTGGACTCTTCTGCATCAAAATCAGCTCTCATCTCACTCAGTTCCTGGTCTACGTCCTTGCCGCCCCGGAGCTTTTCTAGAACTTTCCTCGCCTCCACCTGGCGTCCTTTCTTCATCAGCCAACGGGGACTCTCGGGCAAGAAGAAGAAGCCAAAGAATTGGATGATGGAAGGAATGCCTGCGATGCCAAGCATATATCTGGGGATATAGCCGTTATCTTTAATTTGTGTTGTTTTTTTTAATTGTTTTTTTTTGGGGGGGGGCGGGGGTTCTTTTGAATTGTTGCCTTTTTTTTTTCTTTTTCCCCTTTTTGTTGGTTGGGGGAGGGGGGAATTGCCGGGGGTGGAGAGAGGTCACAGTATCTATATTATATCCTGTCAACACCTATATTTGAACAGCGTTTTATTTTTATTTTCTCACTGTTTACTTCAATTAAACAATCATAACCAATGCTTGGGGTCAAAAGAACACAGAAAAAATCCACTTTGTGTTCTTTTTGTTTACATTGGTCTACAAAGTAGTACAGCGTTTAGAAAGACTGACATCCCTAAAGGTACGTGTGTGTGAGAGAGAGAGAGAGAGGAGGAGGAGGAGGAGGAGGAGGAGGAGGAGGAGGAGAGGAAAGAGAAGGAGGCGGGTCGGTGGATGGATGGGGGGGATATCTTGAGAGAATAAAGGAAGAAGCGGGTTATGTGAATGGAAATACGACGATATAAAGAAATTATGATAAGGCCAACATGCTTTCCTCTTGATTTAAAACTTTAAGGTATCTCTTGTGTTGTCGAGGGTCCGTGTCAAGATCTCTTGACTTGGTATTTACGAGGACCTGATTGTGTTGAGCACCATTGCCAGAAGAAGCGTGTTCTTATTCTCTGTGCTTGTCAGTGTTACACGGATTGCCCTTTTTTCTCCATTTTCTACATCTGACATTTGTTTCTATATAGTTCACTCTCTATTTGTGGCATCGATAAGGTATAGTGAAATTAGGCCACCGGACTCATAAACATGACTATGCCGGTTCGTGGGCTCAAGGGTCAGCTCGGTCCAGTGTTACGTCCTTAGGAAACGTACTTTACAGGAATTATCCCATTGGCCTCGGTCTTATCTGAAATGGGTGCTAAATTCGGTACTCTGGCATTTTAAATAACCTGAAAGTGTTGGTTAAAAAGAGCGTTAAACCGGTACAATTTCGCAACTTTCCACATTCTCTCTGCTTCTGCCTCGAGGCTTCTCTGCGACTATGAGCTTTAGAAGTATCTAGTTTTTGTTAGGAAATATTATACCAAAGAGACAGAAAACTCTCTTTTTGTTTTCGAATTTCGTTTCTCGTTAAGAAATCTTGTAGGCCCTGCTAGCATATTTCAAATGCAGACTGCACTTTGCGAGCTTTCAATGAGAAGCTATTCCTCGGTCAGAAAATAATAGAGAGCTGCATGGGAGATTTTAGAAAAGAGCAACCAAATTATAACAATGTAGTTGTGGTATAAAAGCGATCACTTTCTTTTTAGGTGTGTCCGTCGACTGCAAGATGCAGCCCTCCAACAATGACCTTCACTCAGTTCTATCTGCTGTTCCCCGTATTCAGGGCAATCCTGTTTGTTCTTTGGTGTCATTTTGAGAGTCGTGCGGAAAAAAACCAAGACATACATTTTTTATACCCCTGAGTGATAAACTCAAGAGTCACAAGGTCAAAGTTTATTCCACTTGAAGTGAACCTTTGACGCTTCCACTGTTGTTTGTTAGAGTAGTGTCAAGTGTTTACAGGTGTCGTGTCCCCCACAGATCCAGGGACGTTGAAACGGCACTGTCGACTAGCGCAAGAGTTATGCTCACTCTTTATCAATCTTTGCTGAGTTTTTATTACCTTACAGCACTACTGGAGCTATTTCAGGGGCGAACTCTAAACTGAAAAGTTTCAGGGAGGTTTTTTAAAAATCAAATTTTTTTTGCTTCGCTCGATTCATGGTCGACAGATTGGCACAACAGCAAGCGGGACGGAAGAGAAAGAAAGGGCTCATTATTATTATTATTATTATTATTATTATTATTATTATTATTATTATTATTATTATTATTATTACTATTATTATTATTATATACTTTGTATGGTGTATTAGTGGCACCCGCCAGCTGAGGAGTTGCATCTTGCTAGAAGACGGGAAAGGAGGGATGGGGCAACGGACAGCCGGAAACACTTTCGAAGAATTTTATTAACCGATTGCCTTTTTAAAAGTCGTATTACCACTGGCAACGGTGGCCTTTTTTTCTCTAGGAAACGCTTTGTCTGTCCCATGCAACGCCTCAATATTTGTCACTCGCTAGTTCAAGGACAGTCTTCAGAGTAACCAGTGGATTGAAGTGTTATGAAATTACGTTCTTTTGAAAGTGTCATATTATTTGTTTTTAGCAGTCTCGATCGAATTTCTAAAATCAACAAGGATACATGTACTTGCTTTTCGTTCAAAATTACATAGCAGTTTCTCCAGTTAATGAAAGAAGTCTTCAAATCTACAGAAACCCATGAAGTGCACAATATGTTTCAATAAATTAATGTCTACAACTGCAATTTTGAAGACCATGAGACGCAGTGCCAACTTGAAACACATAGCCATAAACTGGCATGCTTATAAATGAGACTGGTTTAGCTCAAACTAGCGTAGATGAATCTGGTGGAAATGTATCCAAACAGCTAGCACGGAGCCGAAAAAGGAGCTTTTATGGATAGCCGTTTCAAAAATATATGACAATTTTATAGTGATGTACATTATAGGACAGGAAGCTGAACATGTTTGATAGGGTTACTTTCAGTCTGCTAAAACGACGAGGTCTATTTATGTCATTAGCAAATGCATGATTTTGTTGGTTTAATTTAGCAGGTTCTGATCAAACATGTAGTTGAGGAAAAGTGACACTTTAAGTCTTAGACCATCAACAGTAAACAAGAGTGTCCATAATGCGGATTAGACAAAGCGATTCTGAATTTCTCGCGTTCGCGGGACAAATTAGGAGAAATTTGGGTGAAATCTGTTAAAACACCCTTGCCCTCAAAAGTTCTGGCACTACACAGCATAATGTCACTCAAGAGTGTTTCGTGAGATAAAATTAAAACAATTGCTTTCTTCTGAGTCAGAATCTATTACTTTTAATTTTCGAGTCGGACAGTTTGGTTTTGATTAATTATCAACTAATCGTGGACCACATTTATCATTAATCACTGGGTCAACTCGTGGGCCCCATTGAAATTGCTAGCAGGCCGAATCAGGCCCTCGGGCCGTAGTTAGCCCATGCCTGCCTTCGATTTTAAAGGTACATAAGCACTTTAAATGCTTGAAGTGGGAAAACGTAGTGTTTTTTCTATATTTGAGTAAACCTGTAGTGGATAAGAGGCATTTCGGCCTAGTAACAAGTCAAGGGTGTGTCAAAAACATCAACAGAAAACAATGCACTAAAATGTGAGGCAACCTGTAGGAGTTGGAAAATCTGTCGGCTTCTCGACACTTTGAGCCTTTGCTACCATCTCATTGTAAGGAATCATCTGGGTATTATGCATTTTGAATTTCTAAGATATCTATTGTTTAGTATAAAAAAGAACGAACTGACAAAAACGAGTTCAAAACTTCAATATGCATAACCTTCATTAACGCCTTTAAAATGCACAGTATTGGCTCATACTGTGGCCTCTAGTACGCCGAGTTTTACAGCTGTACTTATAAAACAGCACCCCAAAAACCCACAAATCATTTTAAATTTCAAAACCACAAAGAATGAGTGAAGTTAGTTGTTAAAGCAATAGAATATCAACATTTTATAAGGTGAAAAAAGTATTGGGTATATCCGGAATCAAAATGAAATGTTTATAAATAAACCGCATTTTAGCAAATGACTTTAGGAATTTAGATTTAAGATGTTGGGAAATCCCAATTTAAACTCGTCCCAGGATGACCCAATCCCATGTTTTGGCTTCTATCCCGAAACTAAGTTTGCCGACATACATGCAGTCCCAATGCTCCCAAAGCGTATCACAAATATTAGTAGGCCTACTACTAACCCTCAAAGCTGCAACATCTATTATGAAACACGATATCATTCTACCAAACGTTTCACTCTTTTAGCGGAAAGGATGGGGCGGCGGTGGGGTAGGGAGGAGTGAGGGAGCGGTGCAAACAGGCCGGATTTTTTAATTGACTGGGGGCCAGACGAAGAAAAGTCGGAACGACATTATCGATTAACATACGTCCTTTACGCTCGACGCTCAAATGCTACCCTTTCACAATTTTTCTAAACCTCCATCCACCTGGCTGTACATAGCTGAGAGTCAAATAATATTATTCACATTTTTTTCACCTCCATCCATCCGGCTGTACATATAAGCTCAGAGTCAAATTCAAATGCTATCAATCTCACTTTTCTCACTTCCATCCACTCTGATGTACGCAGCTGGAAGTCAAATGATATCAGTCACACTTTTCTCACCTCCATCCATCCGGCTTTACGTAGCTCAGAGTCAAATTCAAATGCTATCAATCACACATTTCTGACTTTGATCCACCCGACTGTAAGCAGCTGGAAGTCAAATCACACTTTTCTCACCTCCATCCATCTGGCTGCACATAGCTGAGAGCCCCATCCATCAGACTGGCCACGAACTGACCACCAGTGATGAACAAGTTGTTGACCGTCACCAGCCGACCACGGAGCTCAGCTGGCGCACACTCGGCGATGTACACGGGAACCGTCATTGATGCAAAACCTGAGGGGTGGTGGGAGGGATGGTGGTGGTGGGATTGGGGGGGGTGATTGTGATGTTGGTGGTGATGGTGGTGATGTTATGATGGTGATAGGGGTGTTTGTGGTGGTGATGGTGGTGATGTTATGATGGTGGTAGGGGTGTTTGTGGTGGTGGTGGTGGTGGTAGTAGCAATGTTGCGGTGGTGATGTTGGCGGTGGTGGCCTAGTGGTAACAATAATGGTTGTGGTGAAAATTATAGTAGCAGTTATGTGATGGTAGAGATGTTGGAAGCAATAAGGTTGATAGTGGCAGTGGTGGTGGTGCTGCTGCTGCTGCTGCTGCTGCTACTGGTAGCAATGATGTTGGTAAAGGTGATGACAGTAGTCAAGTGGGGGTGGGGGGTTATGGGTTATGGCAGTGTTTGTGGAGATGATTACAGTGACAGGGGGGGGGGGGAGAAAATCGCGGTAGCAATAATGAGGATGGGGATGTGGTGGTGATGGTGACGATGGTAGTGGGATGGAGATCGTGGTTGAGGCGATAGTGGTGGTGAGTAAGATGGTGATGGCATTTGTGGTAATGTTTTGGTGATTACAGTTTATAGGGTCATAGTGGTGGTGCCAGGTATGTTGTTGGAAGTATTGATAATGCTAATGGATGGACTCAGACATCCACCCTGCAACACTGCATCAACTGTGTTACCTTTGCCAGCACACAGTATCAACAAGTACAAAACAATATCACAAAATACCGAAGTACATGTACGTGTTATTTAATAATTCCGCAGCATGTATCTTTTTTATCATTTAGAATTTGAATTTCGATAGAATATTTCTTGAGCATATTAATATTATGTAACCGATCCCACAATTTAAGAACCTGCAATTTTTTTACAAATCTAAACTTAGGGCTTCTTACATCTTTACAACTGGCCAACAATATGAACATGTGGAATAAAGGTAATAGACTTCAATATTATTTGTCGTGACTAATGCTGTTTCCCCCCCTTGAGATCTTCATATACATGTATGTACTTACCTATCCCAACACCCAAAACAAGCCGGCCTGCCACCAACATTTCTAAGTTCTGCGCTACGCCTAATACCAAAGTCCCTACTGTGAAGATGGAGCTGGCTGCAATTGTCACAGCTTTCCGCCCAAACCTGTCGTTCAGGAACCCGCCAGCTAGTGACGACACGAACGCTCCGCCGATGGTGACACTGACCACAACCTCCTGCCAGAAGTAACTGAGTTTGAACTCGTCCTGGAGAAGCAGCATGGCGCCGGAAACGACTCCCGTGTCGTAGCCAAAAAGGAATCCGCCGATAGCAGCGAAGATGCAGAGTAACCAGACGTATGTGGTCATCTGAGGTGGCGGCGGGTGTAGCAATGACGTCGACTTTTGTAACGAGGGTATTGTAGATGAAGATGATGTGTGAGCCCCGTTCTCACCGGGCATGTCTGATTTACTGACAACATTACCATGAGAAGTTGTTACAGAGCTGTGATCACCAGAGACGTTAAACACTGTCCCTGTCTTTTCATCTGCTTTACTCTCAGACATTGGGTGCTGTTCTGTTTTCTCGGACTGTGTTCCTGGCGTGACGTCACCGTGCTCGTCCTTCGGTAAGGAATCACCAACGACTCTGTTGTTCCCCCTTGAGTCTACCTCCATGGTTTCCGAAACGTTGAGCGTTCAAGAGCGGCACACCTCTTTGACACTCTTCGCTTGTCTTCACTTTAGAAATGGTACTAGAAGGATGTACACAAAATCATACGCGGTAAAAAGATTAGTCAACAAACTTGTAGGTTTTTTTATTTCTTTATAATAGCACACGACCACTCTTTTGGTGTATCTGTGTGTATATGAATGTGTGTGAGGAGTGTGTGTCGTGGTGCGTGTTGGTGTAAAAGTGTGTGTATGTGTTGTGTGTGTATGTGTATATGTGTGTGTTTATGTGTGTATGTATATGAGTGTTTGTGTATGTGTTTGCGGGTGGGGGTGAAAGAGAGAGAGAGAGAGATAGAGAGAGAGAGAGAGAGAGAGAGAGAGAGAGAGAGAGAGAGAGAGAGACAGACAGACAGACAGACAGACAGTGTGTGTGTGTGTGTGTGTGTGTGTGTGTGTGTGTGTGTGTGTGTGTGTGTGTGTGTGTGTTTGTTTGTATATTTGTGTGTGAGCGTGTGAGCGTGTGAGCGTGTGCGTATGTGCGTGCGCGAGTGTTTCACAAAAATTATTTAACTGTGCGATGCGATTTTACATTTATGTATGTTCGTCTGTAGCGGTTATTTTGTATGTGCACAAGAGAGATAATAACTCCACTATCACCACTCCCAGTAACGTCTGAGATGTTTCTATAAACCACAAAGTCAGAAAAAAATAAGGGAAGGTGGTTCAACATCCAAGGTATGAATCTGTTGGCTTGTGCGTATATCCAACAATTACCGACGACTTCTCACAAAATAGAAAAAGTCCCAAATAATTTTAAAAAACAACACTCTTGCACTGTAAGTTATAAGGGTTCACAACTAGTCGACATCACAGAATACAATACAATTGTATATAACATCCCAGAATGCAGTACATGTTATATCTCTTCTGTTGCGTGGACAGTTATGGCAGGACTGTTGCGACCGTGAGACAAACGTTTTTATTATCACACCGTGCGAGGTCATGCGCAGATAAGCGTGAATGTCCCAGGCCATGATCATTGTGATAACAGAACATTCAATTATCATCTCTTTAACTCTGTTGCCAACTCGCAGTGTCAAGAGAGCAAACCCCTTCTATTCGAAAGGTCGCTGGTTTTTAAAGTTGTTATTGTTCTTACATATAAAATCCTCGGCCCGACTTTTTTTAGATATGTGATTGGTGGTATAAAATGTTTTTGCTCATACCGCATAATAGATAAGGTCTGTACAATTTATCTTCTGCTACTAGGGACCGACATATTACAATGTTTAGAACGATGCTCATTCAAAAGGTATTCCCTTATAGATTGACCTTGGTAAGACAGTGAAGCACCTTGTATACTAATGTAGTACTGATGTAGCATTCCTGAAATCCATTTAACCGATACACTGCTCTTGTAGACAAGTGATATGATAATGCTGAGGACGTGATCTCCATGTCCTGTATTACGTGTGTATGTGTGTGTGTGTGTGTGTGTGTGTGTGTGTGTGTGTGTGTGTGTGTGTGTGTGTGAGTGTTTGCTTGAGTGTGTGTTTGTTTGTATGCAAGTGTTTGTATTTGTGTGTAGTCAATTTTAGTTCCTTTCACCTTCTTCTCACCACGAAACCGAGTGATCCGTTTTCGAAAACTTTTAAGTGTGTTTAATCTTTTTGAGTAACAAATTGGCCTATATCATGGAAAGAGTAAATTTGACAGCTAAAACACGTTAAAGTACGGAATGAAGTAGGATCCTAATACAGCACATGTCAATCATCCGCATTTCTATCGGTAGAGTGTTTTATGTTTTAAAAAAGACAAGTTCAAAAATATATTATCGCACCTATGTTCCTTTTTTTAAAAATTTCTTTCAGGTCATTTTTTTCTTAAAGTGCAGCAGTTTCGTTTCCATCGTATCCTGTTCCTCTCAAAGTTAGCACTTACATTTTCCAGTTGTCAGCCACAATTACATTTCAGCAGCCAAGTCTAGGGTCTGTGCCAAGCAATGTCTCGTAGCGACTTCACGCATCACAATGAACACAGATATTTTGACGGCACGCGAGGGGGTCCTGGCGGCACAGGAAGGAAAACATCATCAATGAGATCTCACCAGCATCAGTCGGTCTCTCTCTCTCTCTCTCTCTCTCTCTCTCTCTCTCTCTCTCTCTCTCTCTCTCTATCTCTCTCTCTCTTTAAAGAAAAGAAGAACACTTATTTCATACCAGCTCTCCTACACTCTTTCTTTTCACCGTAGCACTCACTCTCTGCTTCCACGAGCGAACCCATTTGTACATAATGCATGTACATGTACTGTGCTCTTTTCACCAACGCCCTCTTCATCCCATTTTGCCCCTTCGCGCTTCTCTCATTCATCTCCTCTTCAACCTTTCTGTCCTCCGATCACCCCGAAGGTACCTGAACTTTTCTTTTCTTTTTTCTTTTTCTTTCTTTTTTGTGTTTTGATTCCTTAGTTCACGCCTATACGCTGTTATACTGTAGCTAGGGCGCCCAGGTTTATACCCTCACACCCTGGGCGCTCAGATAATAATTGTAAAAACGTACAGCTCACACCACATGAACAGACAGACCGTTCTGCCCCGCCAACAAGGGGGTTAAACCCCTAAGCTGGTGGGGTGCCATAGAAATACCATAACATTTAAAATCTTCAATTCCCCTCTCTTTGGTGCTACTCTCAGTCAATAGAAAGTAAGCCTTCTCAAAGAAATAAATACGAGGTGTGTTTATGTGTGTGTGTGAGTGTGTGTGTGTGTGTGTGTGAGCGTGAGTGTGAGTGTGTGTGTGTGTGTGTGTGTGTGTGTATGTGTG